TCATCACTGATCCACATTTGTTCTGAGCTGCATGAGAAATATTTCAAACAACATCCTGTGTGAAGAATAAGAAATCTGAAATATCAAGTATTCACTGTTTCTGTCTTGTATTTAAATTCAGTTTTGACACTAATCTTGTTCCATTTCCACCCACTAGGGGTCAGGTTTGCTCCAACATTGTGTGTATTAAAAGCACGAGATGTGCGTTGACAGAAATACACAAACTGACGAGTGACACAGTAAAGAGCAAAAACACAAATGATTTGAAATAATTATATTTTCATGTTTACACACGGACACGTCGCTCAGGCTGGAATCCTCGTCCTGGAAGATCCGTGTTATAAAACAGACGTCTCTGTAGAAGCAGCGGCTTTGTCTCCAAACTCACATTCTCACGCACAGTGCAGAAAGAACCACGTGACAGTTTACTGAGCTCAGATTCACGAACAGCTAAACAGTTGAAGGTTGATGAGAAGTGGGACAATGAGCCGCGCGTCCCTTTTTAAAAGCAGTAGTGTGTGAGAACCATGTGGAGTTCACTGCTCCCCGAGAAGTTAGAGTCCCGTCAGTGTAGCTTTTTATTCAGAACCAGTGATGCTTTCAATCAGAACCTCCAGTGAAACGACTGAAAACCTTCCAGAGTCGACCGGAACTCATCGGCAGGTGTGTGTCTGATGCACACGTGAATGTATTAGTGTCATTTTAGTTTTGTCTCGAGAAACGTTGTTCAATTAATCTGATAATTTATCATGAAATCAAATATTGAACTCAAAACCAAACAAAAATTATCGATCTGTGCTTCGCTGCGATGTCTGATTCAACGAGTCTAACTTGGAAAACTGAAGCCTCGTTAGTTTAAACTTCCACACCTGGTATTATTTCCCCATAGGTCACATGACCAACCGTCCAAAACCCAGAGATTTTCATTTTAATGTCACGAATCATCAGAAAAAAAAAGTAAAGAGAGTAAACGTGAACCTGTCCTTTAATTCAAACGTCTTCATAATTTAATAAATTCCTAATTTCACGTTGTGTTCACACAATAAAAACCTTGAGCTCCTGATCAGGAAACCAGATACATGACAATTCCTGTAAACCTGAGCGGGGGGGG